GAAAGGATAAAAGGAAGAGAAGGGTTATTGTAAAACTGTGCTTCACTGTGACTATATACCACGGAGGTTGAAGTGTATTAAACCCTGGTTCAATAATCCCAGCTATGCTCCACTACATATGTCTCAGCATCAGGAGTCAACCTCTGATCATCAGGGGAAAATAATATACAAGCTTACTACCTACTTGCCCCTGACTCCTTTCTTTAGAGATTTATCCCATATGTCTTCTGCAATAGTTCAGAATGTGAACGAGGATCACCAAAGTCATCAAAATAAATTATCTCCCCACATTTTAACACTATTTATTCAATATCTACTCATGGCCATGTAAAAGAGAATATCATGGAAGAAGTAACTAGCAATCATCATGAGCCTATGTCACACACCTGAATATGATGAGGCAAGTTGAGGCCACGTCTGTCTAATCTACACAATTTCTCCTTTCAAAGAGCTCAATGACCAGCACAAAGCAAAAGTTCTTGGAAGGTGTTTGTTGTGGATTGAATATAATCGAACTGGAATGGACATGTGTACAGATTAGCAATTTCTTTAAATAATATATTCTACAAGCTGTAACTAGAAGCAAATCCAAAGGTGAAAACCTGACTAAATTCCCAAATCCTGACAGTACTCATGTTTTATTCTGGATGAGAAAACTGTCAAATGAGGGAGTAGAGATGGCAAGAAGGTCATTATAAGGCAGCACGGGACAAATGGCCCAGTGATGTGATGAAGAGTACAGATTTTCATAGTAAAACTTGAGTTATCATGAAGTCACAGTGGTAGCAGGGAAATTCTTGTTGGTAGAGCTAGCTGGGAACTGCTCTTGGAAATGAGTCTTGAGCTGATCCTTGAAGATTCCACAAGACCCACTCTGACTGGGAATGTTATTTCAGAGTCAAGGAACTTCTCTCTGACATAATGCCACCAAGCTCTCTCCTTCTTCCAGAGCAGAGGTACCACCTGTGCCCACCCACTTAAATACTCTATGTTTTTGAACGATATTTCCTGGTAACTCAGAAAAATTCTGTTCAATCAGAAGATCAATCAATGTGAATCCCCCAAGAGCTAACCAGTCCTGGCTTGTCCTTCACTCTTCTGATCCTGCTTATGTTTGAGCCTCGGGCACAGGGATTAACCTTCTCATCCTGGGATTATAATCACCAGTTAGCACACCAGCTCCAATTGCCCTTTTTGAGTCTGTAAGAAAAAAATCAATGCACACAGGAAGAAAGCTTTACCTAAGCTTCCTCCCAGGTTCAAAATAACTGAACTTACAGCTTAAAGGATAGAATACATTGGCTCAATCAAAATAAAATCAGAAGAGTCCATTTTCAGGAAATATAAACAATTCACAGACATAATACTTTTTTTCCAAACATAATACTTTTAAGGAAATTTTCATTTTTAGAGCATAAATGCAATATATCTTCCTTGGGGTACTGACTTCTAAAAGAACAGATTCTTTTAGATATTAATGTTTCAGCACCTAGTGATAAGTTTTTTTTTAAGACCTAGCATATCCAAATAAGTTTTTTTTAGTATTTATTTACTTGGATGTGCTAGGTCTTAACTGCAACATACACGGTCTCTAGTTGTGGTATGTGAACTCTTAGTTTTGGCATGTGGTATCTAGTTCCCTGACTAGGAATCAAACTTGGGCACCTTGCTTCAGGAGTGCAGAGTCATAGCCACTGGACCACCAGGGAAGCATCTAGTCATATAACATTCCATTCTGGGATAGCAGGCTGTATACATTCACAATTACAAGAAGAAGAAATGTGACTAGCTTTGGGCTTCGTATTAAAAAAAACACACACACAGGAAAAAAAAAATACTTCAAGCCAAAAAAAAAAAAATAGGTCAAATTACTTGCTGGTTGCAATGAGAATATGAAACTTTACAAAAGATAGATTTATTTTTCTGTCGCCATCTTATCCTAGTGATGGATCTTAGCTTCATCAAATCATTATGTCTATCCTGACATGATGCCATGTACAGGACATGACCTCCCCTACACAGTATTTCTGCCAAAACTAAACAAATCAACAAAGCCTAATCCAGCCTTTAGTTCTATCAGGAGGCAAGGAAGCCAGAAGAACAAGTTAGATTCAAAAAAAAAAAAAAAACTAGACAAATCCAGATATTGAAGCATTCAATAATCAATGTGATAAAAGAAAACACATAGACAGTGGAGGGAAAGCAGTGGAAGGAGAATTATTACAGACTGAAGAAACTTCAAATAGTTATCAACATAATTAAATGCATAGTCTTTGATTGAACTCTTTTGTTGCTGTTGTTCAACAAACAAAAACTTTTGGGATCTTAGTTCCCCAATCAGGGATCAAACTCAGGCCCTGGCATTCAGTACTGAATCCTAATCACTGGACAGACTGCCAGGGAATTCCCTGGATTCTTCTTTTTTTAAACCATCTGTAAAATATACTTGGGAAGAACTGGGATATTTTAGCCTAGACTGGCTATTAAGGGATTTTCAGGAATTGTTAACTTTAAGTGAGAAGTGGTATTATGGTTATGTAAGAAATACTTAAGCTTTTAAAATTGCATGCTAAAAAAATGCATGCTAAAGTGCTTAAAAGTAAATTGTCATGATGTTTGTAATTTATTTAGAAGTAATTGATCAGAATAATACCAAATATGGTGAACACTGATTACTAGAACTAGGTGATGAGTCTAAAGATACAAAATTTATCCAACTTTTTTCAAATATAACAAAAGCTTTATAATAAAATGTTTTTAAAGTTTTCATTTCTAAATGGCCAGGAAGTCTGCAGCAAGTTTAGGCAGTGAAAAAGTGAGATACTGGTTTGCTCAAAGTACTCTTTGAATCTCCAAGTATTTAAGCAAATTAAAAGTAAATGTTCGTACGACATATTTCTGCAACAAATATGAGTATGTTACTGAATATTTAGGTAATATAAATAAGAAAACACTACTGATGATGTTGTACATTTTGGATTATTCTTATTCAAGAAAAAGGCTTAAGTCATGTATCTTAAAATCATTGCCTTTCAAGATCTGAAATAATGATAATAGCTCAAAATCCAGTCTTCCACTTGTGAGGGGGTGAGGCAGTGCCAAAAATTTTACAGATGTACCAGTGACTCCAAACAGTGGGTTGTCAAGCTCACTTCTTCTGCAATAGGGTGTATATCACAGAGAAGTTAGAAGAAGGTTTTGACAACAGCCAAAGTGTTGTGGGGGTGCCGAGGACTGAGGGGAACTTGAGCAAGTTTATCCTATCTTGTGGCTTCATATGGATCTCAATTCAAAAGCCTGGCCTCTTTTATTTCCAGTCCACTTGCTAAGTATATTGCTTGACCCATTAACCATGAAAGCCAAGTTTGTCTATTCCTCCTCTTTATGGTTTTGCTAAACACTCAAGTCACCATCCACACCTGTTGTTTAAATAAGGAAACTTTATTTTTAATAAGGTTGAAGTTTTGCTGCAGAAATATATTATGGGTACTGAACATAGAGTAGGCAGGCTCTGGACCTTCCCTGAGCCCTCCCACTGTCCCCCAGGCACCATTATCATGGATCCAACATCTGAGACACTGAATACCAAGAAGGAGAACAAACCACAGGCAAGTGACATGTAGATCTGCGGTCCTTGACTCTAGAGAGTGCACCAAAGTAATTGAGTCAATTTCCACATTTTTACATAATTGGAAAGTTATGTGCTCACAAAGGCTTCTGACCACTTATTCATCCATCCATCAAAGCATATGATACAATTTATCTGCTAATCACAAGCAAACAAGTAGAAAGTAGTGAAACTGCAGAGAAAACCTGGATTGACAGTTGCCATTGCAACTTTGGCAGCACAAACCACATGGATTAGGAGAGTGTTTCTCAAAGTATGGTCCATGGCTCCCTAAGGGCCCAAAGACATTTTCAAGGATTCCATGGAGTCAGAACTATTTTCATAATAATATAAAAACAATATGTGTCTTTATGCTTGTGTTGACATTTTCCCCAGTTGCAAGAGCAATGATGGGTAAAACTACTGGTCCCTTAGCATGAATCAAGGCAGAGGCCTCAAATCTGTATTAGTGGTTATAGTATTCTTCACTTCTGTATTTCCAAGGGGAAAAATGTTAAGGTTGGTACAAAAGTAATTGTGGTTTCGGACCATGAATGTTAAATCATTATAACTAGGTTCAAACACATCTTTATTAATCAAAATAGGAACCATTACAATCAACATATTTTTGACAACAAAAAGTAAATTTGTTTATTCCTGTAGTGTAAAAATCCATGCTTCAGGATTCAGCGAACTATTAGAAAGCATTTTCTGCCTCTTGCTGATTGTGGAAGCATTTTCCCTGCAAAAATTTGTCCTGATGCTTGAGGAAGTGGTAGTCAGTTGGCAAGAGATCAGGTGAATATGACAGATGAGGCAAAACTTCGCAGCCCAGTTTGTTCAACTTTTGAAGCACTGATTGTGCGATGTGTGGTCAGAATTGTTGTGGAGGATAATTGGGCCCTTTCTGTTGACCAATGCCAGCTGCAGGCATTGCAGTTTTTGGTACAATCAAAAAAACTGCAAAAATAATAATAATAATAATAATAATCAACTTGCTGAGCATACTTTTTAGATGTAATAGTTTCACCAAGATTTAGAAAGTTGTAGTGAGTCTGACTGGTGCAAGTTTGGCTTTGGTAAGTGCTTTGAAACTTCTTCTCAGTCCAACCACTGAGCTGGTCATCACCAATTGTCGTATAAAATCCACTTTTCATCACATGTCACAATCTGATTGAGAAATGGTTCATTACTTTTGTGTAGAATAAGAGAAGATGACACTTCAAAACAACAATTTTTTTGATTTGTGGTCAGATCATGAGACACCCACTTATAGAGCTTTTTCACCTTTCTGATTTGCTTAAAATGCTGAATGACCATAGAATGGCTGCCTTTTGAGTTCTTTGGCAACTTCTCTTGTAGTTGTAAAGAGGATCAGCATTGATGATGGCTCTCAATTGGTCATTGTCAACTTCTGATGGCCAGCCACTATGCTCCTCATCTTCAAGGCTCTGGTCTCCTTTACAAAACTTCTTGAGCCACCACTGCACTGTCTGTTCAATAGTAGTTCCTGGGCCAAAAGTGTTGTTGACATTGCGAGTTGTCTTTGCTGCTTTATGACCCATTTTGAACTTGAATTTAAAAAAATTGCTTGAATTTGCTTTTTGTCTAACATCATTTCTATAGTCTAAAATAAATATAAAATAAACAGCAGGTAATGTCATTAGCAGAAAGAAAACAAAGCAAGAAATGCCCATTAAAATGATACATCACACAACCACATTTATTTAAGAATGTATTCTAATATCAAATGACAAAGTTCAACAATGCAAAAATGCAATTACTTTTGCATCAGCCTAATAATTTCACTTTAAAAAGATATTAAATATATTAGTTGGCTAGGCTGTGATAGCAAAACTCCACAGACTTAGTGGCTTAAACAATGCAAACTTTTCTTCTCACAGTCTTGAAGCTAGAACTTCAAGATCAAGATACACATAGAATCAATTTCCTGTGCCCTTCCTCCTTGGCTTGGAGATGGCCTTATTGCTATGTCCTCATATGGATTTTCCTCTATACATGCAAATCCCTTGTGTCTCTTCTCCATGTGTGCCCAAATTTCCCCTTCTTAAAGGAAACTATTCACTGGATTAGGATCCATTCTAATACAATTCAATTTCAATTTAATTATATATTTAACAGCCATATCTTCCAATACAGTAGCATCCTGATCCATGAGATAAGAACTTTAATATAAGGATTTGAGGAGGACACAATGCAGTCTATAACATTTAAAAAGTTTAAACACTAATTTTATTAAATTTCAACTCTTGAGTCTTTTTAGTGTTCTGTGTGACAAATGCAGAAGTACACATAAAGAACTGCTGCTGCATTCCAAATTATTATTTTATCTCAAGGGAAAAACATGAGCAATCTTTTGAGTTGCAAGCTAAACTAGCCATTTTTCCCATGAAACACTATTTTTCTTGCAAAGGATTATTTGGATGGTTAGTTGTTAGGAATTTTCTTGAAAATAAATTAACTGAGTCTGTCACATCAAGAAAAACAATAGATCATTATTGCTAATGATAAAAATCTGAACTTTGAGGTAAAAATTAGAGGTTAGGAATACATGTTTCTGCCACCATGGGCTGGATGGATCCCCAGTAGTTAAATACTGTTCTGAGTTAAAGATATTGGTAATCATATTATCTATTTTTGTATTTTTGACCTTGTAAATGAAATACATTAACATGTGGAAGTCATGTTGTTCACTAACTCAGTGAACCAAATATTTCCCTAAAGACTACCAATGGATAATGCTGCAAAACCATGCATTGGTGAAAGTTCTATTCAAAATACACACTAGGCCAATGGATTTTCATGGAAAATAATATGAAAAATTTATTAAAATGGCTTAAAATTCCACAGGACAACAAATCTATCTTTTCAAACTACATACATACCTGTGTAAGGTCCAGTTTTTCTTTTATATTCACCCAAACCAATGTATTGCAGTAGGTAGAATGCATGAATACACATAAGAATCTGCCTGTCTCCTACTAAGCCAGCTCTTCCCTGATGGTCTCTAAAGACTGTGATCAAACATTCCCATTAACTTCCTTCCTTTGGTCTACTTTCCCCAAAGTTTTCAGCCTCTTCCTCCATGTACATGGTTTGAAGCCTTTTCTATAGCCTGATATTTTTCTTTGCAATTTGTCTATAATCTTCAGAGACTATATGTTCATACTGGTGCAAGATATAGAGGTCAACAAAGAAAGTTCAACATCCACAATCTCAAATCTTCCAAGATGGAGAATGCCCCTGTCTAATGTCAATTTCCTTTCTCTTCCTGGTATCCCATAAATTTTCTCCAAGTGCTCTGAATCTCCAAAAGGAAGCCAGGTCACAGCCATGACTTGACAATGAAATGGCAAACCCAGTCCTCACATGTTGTCTGTATCTGTTTCTGCCAAGAGTGACCATTTCTGGCCCCAAGAACATGCCCTAGGCTCCTTCCAGGAAAAGGTGAACTTCAGGACAAACCTACACTGTGCCTGCCACTCCTCTTAACCACAGAAGAACCTCTCCTACAGCAGTGGAATGCCACATAGAGAAAGAAAATGCCAGGCTGCCCAAGCCATTCTAAGACCATTCCAGGGAAGGAGATCACCTGGAGGACTGAGAGATCACCTAGACACTTTCAAATAACAAATGTCAGAATAAAGGACCAAAGACCAGATATTTGCAAGTATACCAAAACTTATCACTGGACTAGGAATTGGCACATTTGATTTCTTTTATGTTTATTTGAATCTGGGTGCCTTGACCAGTTGTGAAACCTCTCTGGATCTTTCTAGATTCTTTTATCTGAACACATAGAAAATTGAATAGATTATCCTTGAAAGTCTCTTTCAGCTCTGACTAGGATTCTTCCTAGAGGCACAGTTCATCTTAGATTACTCACATTAGTGAAAATAATATGGTTTGATTACTCCAAATATGTAGACAATGTGGAACTCATTTCTATTTGGCTTTGAAAAATATTTTATGGTATAGAGCAAAGAACATTTATCTTCCCAATGATGCTTATCTCAGACTAATGATAAAAAATGAATTGTGTACAACTAATGGTGTTGTGCTCTGCTATATAAATAATATAGTTGTATATATAAAACTATAGTTTTCCATAGGGTAGCTTAGGGCCAGAGGCAGAAGGGAATAAGAATCAGAAGGATGTGGGTTTTAGCCATGGCTCTGTCACCTCAAGCTTATCCTCTCTCAATATGAGATACCTCATCCTTCAGATGGATTCAGAAGGCACTGTCTGAGCACTCATTCAAAGAGGCAGTGTGCTGGCAGAGGAGACAGAGATGAAAAAAAAAACAAATCTGTTTTCTCAAAGGTCCTTATCCAATGAAGATGAGAGAAAAGGGGTTTGACTGCAAAAATAGATAAGCACTGGATGCAAGAAGATTCGGGGAAAGGGATATCTCTAACACAGTCCACTTTTGAGCAGTCACTTAGGACTTCCCAGGGAAATCCTCAGCTAAACTCAGACCAAATCAATAGGATCTCAGTGGAGGATGGGGCGGGGGTGGGGGATGGGGAGGTTAGGGACCAAATGCAGAAGCCACAGGAGGAAAGCAAAGAGGTATGAAAGACTATGGAGCTTTCAGGTAGCAAGTAGTTCAACACAGCCGTGTTTTGGGGAGTAAATGGGAAAGTACAAGATATAAGCTTAGAAAGGGTAAGCAAAAATCTGTGTCCAAACTATCTTACTTATCCTGAGGATAATGGAGAAGTTAGCACATATTTAAGCATGTGTTGCATAACTGGGATCTCCCCAAGCCTTAACATTTGTAGTAATCAACTACTTCTGCTACGATTATTGTCTATTTATTACAAACATTTCCAAAATTGCAGCTGCTTTATAGCAACAAACATATATTGCTTCTGCTCATTGGTCCACAGGCCAACTGGATGATGCCCTCAGATTGTGAGCTGCATTCAGGGCTGTGTCTTTGTTCTGGAACCCAGGATGAAGCACCAGTGACCCCTTAGCACACCCTTCTCACCTCAGTGGACAAAGGCCAAAAAGTATTGGCAGATATCAATGAAGTCATGCCATGTGGACCTTCAGTCTGGAACTGGCACTGTCCACCTCCACCCACACCTACAGATCCATGCCTGGCCTTATTTCAAAGTCAGTGGTGTGAGATGTACACCCACCTGGAATGGGGACCCTGCAATATCCTGTGTCAAAGACCCTGGAAGATACTCCTGGTACAAGAAGGAGTGAAGAGCTGGGAAACACAACAGCTGTATTCTCCTCAAGATGCAGCACCCCAAACCTTTCTTCACAGCCAAAGGATTGCAAGATTCACAAGGCTGCTGAGTTTAAGTTTCAGTCTCCTCAAAATTTAATTGCCTTTTCATTCCCAGATTTTTGTTTCCTATAGCTAGTTCCATTCAACCCAGTCTCCTATGGCTGCCTGGGAAACTCTGCACTAGCGCTAGGAGGGAGTCAGTGAGCCTCACAGGGGGTCGTCAGAACCTGAATTTACTGTTCAACATGCCCACATACCTCTTGTCATCTCAAAGACTAGAGCCTAAACCAGCTACACTCAACAGTCCAAGTTCAATGCTTTATTCCCAACTGGCCTCCCACCATGAGATGCACGTTCTCCTACTCTCTGCTCAAGCCAGCCTCTTTTATATTATCTGTTACTGAGAAAATAATATTTCTTCTTCTCCTTTTTTCCTATTTCTTTTCTGAGTTTTTTTAAAAAATAATTTTATTTATTTATTTTTGACCGTGCTAGGTCTTTGCTGCTGTGCACGGGCTTTCTCTAGTATGGTGAGTGGGGACTACTCTCTAGTTGCAGTGCAAGGGTTTTTCATTATAGTAGCTTCTCTTGTTGTGGAGCATGGGCTCTAGGGCATATGGGCTTCAGTAGCTGTGGTACATGGGCCCAGTAGTTGCATCTCCCAGGTTCTAGAGCACAGGCTCAATAGTTGTGGTACACAGGCTTGGTTGCTCTGCAGCATGTAGAATCTTCCTGGATCAGGGATAGAACCCATGTCTATGGTACCGGCAGGTGGATTCTTTACCACTGAGTCACCAGGGAAGCCCACTTTTTTTAGTTTTTTAATCTGCAGGAGTGTTAGACCCTGTGTATGGAGATGAAATTGGTTGGGTTCATGGGGCAGGTGTGCAGTTGTATGGAGGTGGGGTAGGAGCTGTCACAAGACTATATAGAAAATTGTGACACTTAAATTAGGCCATGGATAAGATCCTCCAAAGAAAGGTGAAGGTTAAATTTTTTTCAATTGTGCTACCTCTTGATAACAACAGCAACAGAATTCACACTCTACTTTAAACAGTTAACATTCCATGAGGTCACTTTTGATGACCCTAATATATCACTTTATTTTCACAGTGATGGACATGGAGATCAAAGGCAAAATAAAACCAATATATTGAGACCACTGGATGAAAGTTTTCAAAAAGGGCATGATGATATTAAAAATCAGAAGTACAACAAGAATATAAATAAAAATAGTGGATTGAATTTGGCCAGAGCCACTGCATTTAGGTTCATAGGTTGTATGGCACAAGGGCTTTCAGCCAAAGGCAAATGGGAATAAGCTCCGCTGGTAGAGCCAAGGCCCTGTGTGGTGCTG